AATCATAAACGATATATTTTATTTTGTCTAGGCTATGTAAATAAAGGGGTAAACTTTTACAAACATTCGAAAGTAGTAGAACTGTGACATCAACTCACAGATCATATTAATAGCTTAGTTGTTGTTTGGAGCGGTTTTGCAGTGAGAGTTATATTACGTCCACGTATTGAAAAGATGCAAAGTGTACGAGTTTTACTTATATATTTTTAAATATATTTTTTAAATATACCTTATATTTATAGCAGTCGTTTATACTTTCCACAAACCAAATTTAGGTTCAGTCTTGTGAAACTACGTTTTCAATGTGAAAATAACAGGCTTAAACTCACCTATTATATTTTATATGCAGAGGTATAATAATATTTGATTATGTAACTGCGGAATAAAGTTAAAACCAACCCAAATTCAATTTATAATCTGTGGTGTAGTTTCGTTTAGACAATGGCACAACAGATTAGACACCATTTTATAAAATAGTTGATTAAAAGGATATATATGCCACATTCTTCATAGAACTTGACATTAAAAAACATTCCCGCCTTATATGTATATATATATATATATATATATATATTACGAGGATTAACTTTAGTACCAGTTTTAAGCTATTATCCAAAATAAATTAACGCGTCTCAATTTTACGTTTTTCCTTCGTCATTGTTAATATTATACATTATTTAGATGTCCTAACATACTGACTGACAGACAACGCAGAGCCTAAACCGCTGGTCGTAGAGACTTTAAAACTTGGAAGGTATGTACATTAGTCTCATTACGTAGAGGTATACTAAGAACGGATTTTTAAATTCTATAACAACTTAGCCGCCTAATTTTGTCCAGTTTTCTACGTCATATACATTATAAATTAACCTCAATGCTTTTTTTCATTAGTTCACACAAAATCTTCAATTTAAACAGCTGTGAGTTTAAAAGTCCACCAAGCGATATATATTAGTCTAACTTTATTTATTTGGGTAACTGTCCACTAATATCTTATTCTATGATGAGTGAACGACAAAGAGAATCGTTTAATTATTTCATACTGATATTATATTCATGTATTTTACACGATATAATAAATAAAATATGTTTTAGCGTTTTTCGGAAATGCTGCTTAAAGTAACTATATCACTCGGACGAAGTCGCGGGCTTAAGCTAGTTTGCTATAGCGGCCAATGACTTTACTTTATTAAGCATTCAGTTTCCTCGTTTACTATTAACATTAACACAGTGTAGGTTTAATGTCACAGACTATGTAACAACCTAAGAAAAAGTCGCCTAAAGTGTTCACTATGAAATTTAAAGCATCAAAATCGTTAATGATCGTTTATGACAGTTGACTTCATACAAAAGGCTCCGATCATCAATAAAAATGATCACAATTAATCACCCACCCCTAGTGATCGACCAACCAAGGTGTGTAACACTAATGGCCCCGTATTGACATAGACATGATAAATGGCCATGTATAGATGAGGAACATGTTACATGTCATGTCATCGCATTTACGAGCTGATGATGCGGTAATTTAATAATGTGGTACTTCTGTTTTTTTGTTGGTATAATAGATGAACTTATCTTTGGAATCTAAGTGTTTAATTGAAAAGATAGGCATGCAAAACCATACTTACAAATGAAAAGCAAATAAAAAAACCTTTTAGTAAGCTCAATTCTTTTTAAATTACGAGAAGTGAAGCGCAAAACAACAGTGAACGATGTGTATTATTTATACTTTTATATTTAAAGTCATTTTACAAGGTATTATTTACCAAAGTTCACTGTTTTTCTACGTGATCTCAGCCCTATTTTATTTTTATTTTATTTTATTTTATTCTATTGAACGAGTTTTCGGAAAATGTATGCTATCTCTTCTACTACGGGTAGGCAGAAATTGTATTCTAAAATAAAATATCGTACTCTGTCATTATAATCTTTTATACAACGATTATTATACTAGTGCCAGTCACACATATATGGTGCGTACATTTTTATCGTAACATAAAAATAACCTAAAACAGTTTTTTTAATGTTAAATAAATAATACTCTTTTTTGAAGTCTGTACTCTTTAGTTAATTGCTTTGAAATGATATTACACTATTTTTCTAATAAAAGTTGACAACCCTAGCCGAGCTCAACAAGATCTTTACACATGTATTTCACTTCCGTCTTTCCTCCACCAAATACCTAAAAAATATTAATATATAAAAAAAGTATATTCATAAACAAAACCATGATGACATAAAACTGCTACATCATGGCTACTGTCATTTATCGATTGATATCAATAAATTCATTTTAAATTTGCAAATCTCTCAACGAATCTTCACAATAGAGATCGCTCCCCAATTTCTAAAGATCGACGCTACTTAGTGATTCGGTTTACATTCATGCTTGTTGTAAAAAAAAGTACCCTTCGGCGAGGACTTAAGGCCGTATGTCATTATAGAAATTTAACTAGGATTTCTCGAACAATTATCACGAAAGTAATATTTTTATACCATCACTACTACAAAGCGAATTGAGTTAAAATCAAGTCCAAAGGGAGTACCGACTGAAGGGATCAGTGCGAATTTTAATAATTTGTAAATATTGTTTGTATTTTTATTGATTTATGATTTTTAAAGATTAAAAATCAGGTTTTGTGGCGCTTTGTAGTAGAATCTACATTTTATATATTAATTATTGAATGATTTGACGCACAAAGAGGAACTTATCTGAATTTATTAAAGTTGTAAAAAGAAACTGCAAATTTTCTTAATTCTTATTTTAGCTGTGATTCCTTTTAATATTTAAAAACTATACACATTAACACAAGGTATAACCACAAAAATTCAACTTTTAAAATTTACTTTCAATAGACAAGTTTGAAAATCGATGTAATTTAAAACAAACACGGACATTTTTATTTCGCTCGAGTGAATTATAGAATTATGCCTTCACGTAGTAGGAGTTCAGTTTTACGTAACAAAACAATTATCTGCACGAAATTAGAATAGTCTGTGGGGGACCACAATTAAGGGTTGGCGCCGTTTCTCAAAGCTGTCATCTCTAATATTTCGACACTGAATTTTATAATTTCATTAATAGGGGAGTAGACGACTTATTTTTTTTTATATATACATGAGTATATTTATATATATAATATTTTAAAAAGAAACATTTGTTTAATATGTTTTAAATCTATAAATAAATTTAGCTTTCAAAATTTCCCGTAAAACGCTAAGTTCTGTCATGGTGTCGGTATAACTTCACGGCCCCTGAAACCAATATCCTTCTATTACGAAAAAAGTTCAATTCTCTCTAAGTTCTGATATGCGTAAGAGTGGTGTATTTGCAGTCACGTGACAACGAATACAAGATATTTGTTTTTACATAATTAATTTAAGCAATATTAGAAATATAATTAGCATAAAAGTGTGATTATCGCTAATAGTATATTATTTTCGTTTACTTTCTACACCCATATTGAATGACTTGCATAACTTTAAGGATAACACCCAGCAATTTTGAATGTCAGATAACAGATTTAAATATAATATTCTTTATTTTGCATGTCCATCACTTTGGTTTAATTAATTATGTAACCATTGGAAATTAATCAAATTTTGTGCAAATGAGGTTATTTTAATTTAATGTAAACCATTGACTAAGTGTTATTTTATTGATTAACCGTCGGTGTAAATCTGTCGGGACATCCATCGAGCGTTTTACGGAAATATCCGTTAGTACGCGACTGATTATCCGTCAAGTGTGCATTGAATGTCATGTTATATATTTTGTAAGTTTTGACATTCCGCGACCGAAAAGACGCAGGTTCCGTCAGACATGTATCGACCTTCATTAAGACGGTTACTAATATGCTATTCTTCTAAATAACAGCCTTGAACTCGATTTCGAGCGCAGCGCTGTGACTGCATAGAGCTTCAATGAAAAATACCTTTATTACCTCTTAAAGTAGGTTTTATTTGATTGAACGAGAATGAGTTCGACTTACAGAATAACACTGTTGAAAAGTGATATTTTGTGTTACGTTTATGACTAAAAGTGTACCCAGTCTTATAATACCCAGTAACATAATCATTAGGTATATATTAATTTACAGATATTCACGTAAAGAAAAAAAACATTAAAAATTACATACTTAAACCTCCAATTGATAACCTCCTTTTTTGAAGTCATTTAAAAAGTTACAAGAAATCCTAAAATTACATATTAATTTATTAAATCCTACGCATTACAATTAAACCAATTCTGTAAGTATATTCAAATACTAGGCAGTATTTATTACCTAAATATCATCATTGTTACCTAAATAGAAATTTTGCATCGACCATTTCGTATTAGTTCACTGCTTAGGATTACTATTCTACAAGAAAATCTTATAACAAAATGTTAGATTTAACTATTAATTCGTAAAATTTTGCAAACGAATTGGGTTCCGTTAGGTTTTACACTATAATTTTAGGATTTCTTGTAAGTCTTCTAAATAGTTTTTCCTTTATTTTAAAATCTTTTCTTCAATAAATATAGATTAGCATAGCTTCTGATGAAACATCAATCCACTAAACTATAGTTCTAAGAATATAAAACCAAGTTTTATAACAACAATTTAAAACAATGTGTAAATATAACTCAGAAATTAATCAAATAATTTTTCAATAGTTTTAATTCTTCGTGTTTACAACTTAACACGAAAAACGTTTTATCTTATTTTAAAATAAATGCCCGAGGGAGCAAAGAATGGAATCACAAAAGAATGTTCCAGACGATGAACAACCTGTATTAACAATGCCTAACCTAAATATATTTCTGTAATAAACAATAAATCTCCGAATTATGCAATTGAAAACTCATTTGAATAAAAAACCATATGTGAACATCTCCAGCTACAAAATCGGTTCGCTATTGACATAGATTGCAGTACATGCAAACAGAAAACAACATGGATGGAATTGATAACCTGTTTTTATGAATACGGATAAAAATAATTTACTCTTACCTATATATCCGTCGACATAGTACGCGTACAAAATCCACAGTAATCCGAGGTACGTGCATCGCGCCCTAGACGCTCTCAACATTTTTCCGAACTCACATTTTCCAAAAACATTTTTCACTTGTAATATTAAACTACCAAACGCATATTGATTACTAATACGAGATTATCCCATTTTTATTCTATCGGTGAGGTCACTTACATATTGTGCTTTATAATTGGATTGGAAGGTGAACGTCTGCGAGCGTAAGCACGCGTAGATGTTATTTTAACGCGGGAAATAAACGGACGTACGCTCCCCACAACGTTTGCGTTTACACTGACTTGTTTTAACCGAAGTTCGGATACTGACGAGCTTGTGTCACTGTAGTACAACCCTATTCGTAGCGTGTAGCTTTTGGAAAATCCGCGTAGCGAATTGATCGCTCTTTTCAGAATCAACCCTTTGTTTTGTTTGTTCGTTGTGATAATTAATGGCGTCCGTTTGTGATAAACATTTTCCTGGAGACAGTATTTAATGCGCTAACGGCTTTGGTATTTATGATCACAAACTTAATGTCGTGTTATAAATCTAAATTTTGTATTTTTTTCCTAATGTAGGACGCTAAAAATTTGATTGTTTTCGATCGATCGATGAAAATTTGATCGATGACATTTAATGTCCTTTACAGAGAAATAAAGAGGATTTTTTACTGCAACTTCTTAGAGAGGGATTATTTATCAACAAAGTGAATAAATATTGAATTATACCTATATGTGATGTATTAGTTTTGAGTGGCAACACTTTAGTGTTACCCTCATTGTACTCTCGTAGTACAATATACTTAGCACTGAATACATTGCTTCAACATACTGAAATATCAATTTTTCTAAAGCTCTAACACATTTTTGTCACGACTTGTTAGACTATGGTGAATAAAATAGTATAGTCCTCTGTGATTTTCCAACTGCATCTATGTTGCCGGTGTTGATATAATAAAGAATATTGGGTTTAAAAATACATCTTTGATTTATACGACTACCTACGGGCAAATACGAAAATGAAGTTCTATATTACACTCTTTTAAACAAAAAAAAAGTCGCTTCAATATTGACGAAAGTAAAAAAATATCATGTTTGTTATTTTCTAGAGAGTTACACACTATTTATTTATTTACTTTTTATTGCTAAAAACACAAATGGCGGACTTAATGCCAAGGGCATTCTCTACCAGTCAACCTGAGCGAAATTTGGATTTTTATGTAAGGCGGTAATAAGAATAAAAATTACAACTAAATGATCATGAATAAAAAAGGAAGACGAAAAAGTCATCTTTTCACTTTACACGTTAAAGCTTTTTTGGTGAAATTTTACTTTACCACTTTTTAGGCGTAATACTCATACCAAATTACAATTTTCTAGTACCTATAGTTTTTGAGCTAAACCTTTGATGGTGGAACGCATAGACTCAGGTACTGGTAAAGAATGCCCTTACCATTAAGTCCGCCATTTGTATTTTTTTTATTTTATGGAATAAAGAGCAAAATAACTAAATAAATAAACGGACATAGAAAAACTATAAGGGTTCCTTGTTTAATACGGAACCCTAAAAAAGAACGTTCAATTGAATTGATAACCTCCTTCTTAAAGTCCGTTGAAAACCACACACGAACAATAACAGAGGCAGTACAAGTATTTCCTCAAATAATCCAAACTTTATTTTTCTTAGTTAAATATGTAATAGCCCACTATTTTTTAACTGCAAGTACCTATATGATATTTTATCATAGCAGAGCCGCCTCAAAACATCATCATTCATTGTAATCAAAGAAACACATAAAATGCATCTTAATTTCAACAATCATTTTCGGCAATAAAAAAACACTATAACACGAATAAAGGCAACACACGACGACAACAGAACGAGTTAAAGTTTTATGGCTTATGACTATACTAGTGACAAACCGTGACGAATCACTTCCGAGTAAAAATAGTGACTTCGGCTAAGTCACACAAGGTAAAGGGCCCACTAAAGAATACCGCTGAATGCGTACTAATTAGTATGATAAAGGGACTATGTTGATTTACGTGACGCTTATAGTCTTCTTACGTCGATAATTTTTTAGGGTTCCGTAGTAAATAAGGAACCTTTATAGTTTCGCCATGTCCGTCTGTCCATCCGCGGTTTAACTCAAACACTAATAATAGTGTGCTACCTAGTACATTTTATTTGACACACGTTAATTACGCTCTAAATGTAAAAAGGGGATGGTAATTTTTTTCGACTTCCCCATAGTGTGAAGGATAGTCGAATAAGTTTTTAAAAACTTTGAAAGTGTGGGAAGTAGTGATGCGACTCGAGTAGGATTTTTTGACTCGAGTCAATTAACTACCGCACTCGAGTCATACTCTAGTGACTCGAGTAAAAGCATTTCAAACGAGCTACTCTAGTGAGATGTCTCTAAGTAATTTTAAACAAATACATACATATATAAATAAAATACGCTTATAAGAGTTTCGACGTGTTATTTATTTATGCAATCAAGTAAATAAAAAAATAAGAAAGCATAGAATATGAATTAGAGAAGTGAAGTGACGTCTAGTGGCAAGAGATTCAACTCGATGCGCCGAGTTGAAAATTTTAAAAATCAATGAATATAAAAACGTAGAGAAAGGTGTTCCCCAAGGTATTATACTAGGTCCATATGTTTATCTTTGTTTAAATGATTTTCCTTAATGTATTAAATATCCAGTTACCCTTTTTGCTGATGATGACTTTCAAAATGAGATTAACAATGAGATGGAAATAAAATTCAATTTTTAGAATTTACGCATTATGTTATTTTGTTAACACACATCACACACCGAAATGAATACTACGTGTAATTATCAAATTTATGGTATTAAAGGAATATGGGGGCGAAGGACGCGGTAAGTAGTTTCCGTGCATCACCTCTAAGGAGTCCTTCGCATTGCAAAGTTTTAGTGAGTAGTAGTGAGTGGCCGCTGGCCCCACTCTAGGGGGGAGCGGGTTCGTAATGCATTTCCTTAAAAAAAATATTAAAGGTATCAATAGTTGTATGTTAAATAAAAATATTCACATGACATTCATTGCTCATTACTTAAATAAATAAGTCTTAGGACAGACTGATTATAATTTAACCCACGTATTAGTGTGTCCTGTGAAACGAGATCGTTGCTTTTATTCGGGAACCATTATTGAATATAAATTAAAAATGATTTCTGTTACACACAGACCAAATAAAAAATTCAAGTCCATAGTACACACGGCTGCAAGTCAGGATTTCGGTTGAAATTTCCGCAATTGATTTTGAACTCTACTTTCATTAGACATTAAGGTTTATAATCAAATGGAGAGAATTGACAGGTTCATATAACCTGCCGTGCTGTTGACTGAAGGTATATTAGTAGCAACAGTTATAACGAAAACACTTTGCAAACAATTTTGAACTTAATAATAATTTATTGGGGAAATTCGCCTTTTTGTAGAAACCAGCAGTGCCATTCTTAAGTTAAAGATACAAGAAAGGTTACCGTTTTTTAATCACTAGATGGCGCGATAGTCGCGAGTGATCCTCCGCTCACTGGTGAACGCGTTAACGTTACACTTACAGTTACCATTACCACTCAGCGGCAGTGTCAAGTCCTACCTCCGTTGCATGATAAATTATCGCCAAACGTTTTTCTTTGCAGTCGTATTAGTATTTTGAAAATAAACAAAATTTCGTTTTCAAATATATAGAATAGACCTTCAGGTGTCATTTTCGTATGAGTAGTACTTAAAATGTACAGATTTACGTTGTCATATTACAATAGTTTCAACCTTCCGCAGTATGTAGGAACCCCTGATCTAGAGCGAAGCCGACCTACCTTTAAATGTATATCACTATTGCTTTGGCCACTTCAGCCAAAACCCCACTCGTTCATAGTGCATTTTGGTGGGTACCAACGATCTTGAGACCATAGTCTTCGAAAGCACATTATCTCAGCTAATAACTAATACATTTTTAGGGTGACCAAGAATTTATTATCATAGTTAATGTATATACACTACAACACCATCGAACTGTAAAATAATATCAAATAACTTCATGGACTAAGATTAAAAATGAAACACGTAGTATACTTATAAATACACATTTATTCGTGATAGTAACCCTAAAACTAATTACATACATTATTCATAATCAATACACCTCAATACATAGTATGTTGTAAAAAATATATCAACGGGAATGCAGTTTGCAATGAAAAATATAAACTGATGAGCTTAAGTTCTGGGGTTCCACATACAATAACCTTAATATCTTTCAAAATATCAAACATCGAACCATTAAAATAAATACCTTGCATACTTAAGGATTGTTCAAAGTTTTTCTAAATGAACTAAAGAAGAGTTTTATCTAGTAATAACATGTAGGGTTGCCGGATGGTCGGGATTGGTCTGGATTGTCCTTACTTTTCGGAGGATATCCAGAGTTCCGAAAAAGAAGAGATTGACCCGTTAAATGTTAAATAATTGATAAAATCATCAATATTTTTTGAAGGTGAACATATATATTTTTATCCTGAGTAATACAGACTTTTTGAAATTTAGCCCAGATATTTTACTCTACCCATCTGGCAACCCTAGCTACATACCTTATGTAGCATCTATCTTGTCAAATATATATTTTTTATATATTTTTGCTATGTAACATAATAAAAATTATAAATAATGCTATCTTATTTTCGCTATGAAATTGTATATCAAGAAACAGTCGTATTTTGTTTTTAATATATTTTGTGTAGGCAAAGACTGCCCCTGTAACCAACCCAAAGTTTTGTTACTTAGAAGAAAAAAAGCGTCCAGTGTACAACACCTTTTAAATTAAATGAATCGATTGTAGCGTAACATGTAAATATATAACTGTCCATTACTTTTCAATAAATCACCAAAGAATTGTTACTATGTAGTCTTATTCTTCAAGTCTCTAAAAACGTTGAATAAGTTTTACGGTTTTCTCCTTTCAGTTTTTCGAAACGCCGCAAACCTATGACTGCCTTTAAACTGATTTTGATGTCAATTCAATCATTGACTTTGTTTATATTGATGTCAGATTGATCATAAACAGTGTTAATAAACAAGGTTTAGCGTTGGATTAAGTTTATGACGAGACTGCACTTAGTATTAGTTAAAATTCATTATTATTAAACAGAGACTCGGTAAAGGTTCACCTAGTGTGAGTTTCTACGGGAGTATTATTTACTCCCTACTTTGTAGTAAGTTTGCTTATTCTCTGTAAATATGAATTTGAACTAATACTAAAATTTATCGTAAATTTTATCGTAAATTTACACTGACGCTATAACTTGTTTATTAATAGCCCTGATAAAGTATTACGATTGACGTCAGATTGTATTTAGCCAAATCTGCGATCCACTCGTGCTGCCACCAATGTTTTTCGAGATAACCGATGCCGATTTGTCAGATCACGAATCTGTCAGACAGCTACCAATCTCTCAATTTGCAACAAACTAACCTTGGTCCAAGGTCACAGATTGAACTGACACCATATAGATCGGGTATTGACCGTTTACTGATTACAAGTGGTATTTCGTATATTAAATTCGGTTACATAAATTCCCAATCTTAAGAAAAAGTTTCAATGTTAACTCAAACGTATGAGATAAAACAGCATTAATATAATGTATGTAACTTTCATAATCAGTTTCATTTAATAACATCTTCAAAGTCTATTTATTAACTACATTACTGTATATAAGGCATAACATACGTCACAATCGTTATAATGTTCTTGTATACAACTGAAAACACGCTCTTAACAGACAAATGCTTAATAAACCTAAATGCTAGTACTAACTTCATTAAAATTGTCATCTTACTTAGGCATCACACATTCACAATATATATTATTCACTTAAAAACTAAAAAGGGAAGGTATTTAAGATCTTTGTGGTGACCCAAGAAGAGTTAAATGTAACATATGGGATAGAAGACAAGGAACAATAATTTCTGCAAATAAGTAACTATAAAAATACTATTATTTAACCATAAAAAAGAATTAAGAATAATAAGATTGACTATTGTTCATGAAATTTTAAGTGAAAAGTTCTCGAGATCACTGTCAATTTATATGAAATTTTTTAATTTTTAAAAAAATCCTTAAGAATACCTAAAGATAGGTATTAAATATCGAGTTTATAAAAAATAGCTTCATCATAATGAATATTTTATTTCAATACTTTGACAAAGATTTGTCTGTGAAAATATAAAAAGAGTTGAATAGTTAATTTTATGTAATTGGAGAGAAATCTGATGGAAAGCATTTTCAACAATAAGCTTATTTATATAAAGTTCACAGTCAATGTGTAACTGTTACAAGAAAAACAGAAGGTACATAACTAAAACTTGAATATGTATCACAATGTATTTCATTGAATGCTCTTACCCATCTGATCTTAGAATAAATATAGTTACAACATGGAGGCATATATTCTGTGGGAGTTATTCTACATCTGTGGTAGGAACTCTATGGGTGTGGCAAACTTGAAGTCTTCTGGGAATAGTTTAGCTGCAAACGGGTACATAAGCTTGTAGGACTGTCGGATGGTGACGTCAGCCACTCCTGCGATATCACCGATGTCTTTCTGACTGCGTTTGTCATCGGATGCCTAGAAAAAAAAATGTAATTTGTAATAAATAAAAAACACGAAACAGTAAAGACAGTGAGATTTTGTGTAGCTCATTTTTTATTTCAATTATAATAGGCTTCATCCCGAGGGCATGAATGATGATGATGTTGCCATTTCTATATTATGGTAAAAATGACAAGAGCAAATAAGTTTGGATTTAGGTGAACCCATATCCAATACGGGTATGGGTTCACCTAAATCCAGTAGCTCGGTGGCGTAGTGGATAAGTGCAGCGGCCCGCGATCGTTGTCGTTAAGCAACTTTCGCAAGGGTCGGTTACGGGATGGGTGACCAATAAAAAACTATTAACTCGAGCTACTCCGTGCTTCGGAAGGCACGTTAAGCCGTTGGTCCCGGCTACATTTGCAGTCGTTAATACCCTCCAATCCGCATTGGGCCACCGTGGAGGGTCATGGCCCATCCTCCTTAACCATCCATAAGGAAGGCCTGAGCCCCTGCAGTGGGACGTAAAAGGGCCGATGATGATGATATCCAATACAGGTATGGTTTAAATTAATCAATAATGTAGACAATTCAGGATTTATTGTCTAATTTTAAAATCTATCATAATTCCTTTCAATTTAAAAGATATTCACAACCTTTATGCTACAAATATTTGACATGTGAGAGTAATTGCGATCATGACATTATTTTGAAAGATTAATTAAACAATACAATAATTAGAATTCTCTAAGGCAAGTGTTAGACCCAAAAATTATTTTGACGGTCAGTTGCATGAACATCCATTAATTTTAATGTCGATTTGAAGCTCTAATGAATTGTCAAACTTGTATCTGATAATGTCGCTTTAAACTAATGACAATTTTAATGAATGTTTGTACAACTGGCTGCATATTACAAAATTTTTATGTCTCTTGAACACTCAATTCATCATTTATTCTGAAAACAATTGCAACTTAGCTATCACATTAGCCATACTTTTGAAAGGGATAAGAATAAATTTTGAAATTAAGTCACAAGTATTATTCACAGTAATAGAACATTTACCTGAGAGGCCATGTAAATTGCAGCTGCAGCAACTGAAATAGGACTGCGACCAGAGACAATATCAAGCTCGCCAGCCTTCCTTGCAATATGTGTAGCGGCCCTTTGTACAGAATTGGGCAGCCCAAGATTCGAACAAAACCGAGACATAAAATCGGCTGTAGTTATAAGGTCTACAGATGTTTCCAGCGCCTTGAGTATTAATTTGAAACACCTTCCAATTTCTTTTTTACTGATTTTACTGACAGCGCAGATCTCTTTAAATGTTCGGGGCACACCTTCTTGTCTGCATGCAATGTACAAACAGGCTGAAGCTATAGCATCATTAGCTCGACCTTTTAGATTTTTACCATCATGTACCTAGAATAACAGAAAACAAATTATTTTATCTCTCAAACCATTTCTGAATTTGATGCAATTATTGTAAGCTATGAAAGTACATTATTTACCCACTCTTTAACAGAGTGCAGCAGATACATGATATATATCATGATCATAATTGCAAATGATTTTATTTTTTACCTTCTACAAAACTAAAAAAATTGAAGATTTAATTTTGAAAGACAGTAAAACCATGTTTGTTTAGCAGTCAATACTTGGCAAAGGATTTAGGTTCTTTTCCCCCAATAACAACTATATATGTAAAATCAGGCCAATAAACTTGATGAGAAATGGAGTTTGGAATGATAATTATCTTGATAAATATGTCTTGATAATTATAAAACACCACACAAATTCTTTTGTATTTTATTAACATATTTTTTTTTTTTTGTTTATTTATATATCTCATTTCACTTTTTGTTAAATGTGATTTCACAGTTAATTTTTTGGTTGTATAATTTTTATTGATATAAAAGTAAACTTTATAAAAAATAAAGTTTCATGATAATTATCTTATAATAAATCCTAATTTTGTCATCATATAAATTATCCAAAAATATAATTATCTTGATAATTATGAACTCTGACCAGAAATCACACCCAGGACCACATCGATTTTGGCATCTTGAGTCTGCATGCAAGCTTTCCAGTAGGGATGGAAATTTATTTGCTATATTTTTATATTAAAGATTTCATTTCTGTGTAAATTCTGTAATGTTGTAGTATTTAACCCCTTCACAGAACGGATGCAAACGCTGGTCACACTCTTAAGAACAACTCTATATCTATAGTAATAGAAAACATACCTAGGTACATTATGTGAACAGATTTACACTTAGATCAAAGAGCAACACAGCAGTATTACTAATAATCATTGGTCATTGTTCAGTCACACCATCCGTAATATTATTACGGATATTAAATAGCCATTTGATGAACAGTTTTTCACCTTGTATCTAGTTTCTGACTAAGAGTAAAATTCTCGCTCACTGTCAATAATCAAACAATACAAACAATTACCTGTTTAAATAGATTATTTGCTCTGTCTACAATAGTTTTGGGTAAGTTTATTCTATCAGCCATAGTGTTTATTTCTCTGAAAGCATTTATAAGTGCTCTGTCTGTACTGCTTATATTTCTCCTATTCTGATATTTTGATACTCCAAAACTGTCGAACGAGGCGTCTCCTCGTCCTGGTCCTATCATAGTTGATAAGTCACCACCGGATAGTAATGGGTTTTCGGGACCACCAACACGAGATGGATCTACCCCAGATTTCTCATTGCTGAAAGTACGCCATTCTGAACCCACATCTATAACTCTGTAAAGTATAAGATAGGCAAACTTAGAAAGTTTATAATTTATTTATCAGGCGCAATATGTGCAACAGCCAAGGGCAGTGTTAAAACGGTTTACACAATGTTTGGTAAACTAGTACATACCTGTCACCAACAACGAGTCCACATTCGGAACATATCATGTCCCCAGCCCTGTAGTCTTCGATGAGGGGTGCATCGGGATGAGAATAGCACACAACTTTATTAGCCTCGATCCTAAAACACAAAGTAGGTCTATTCAGTCGATTCATAAAGTAGAAATCGAATCATTTATGTTTAACATGATTATAATATAACTTCGATGAACATATTCTCCACTACTAACAACTTACGTAAAGCCATACTGAAATTTAATATTATTCTGCAGAATATTAAAACAAATAACGTCGATTTGTATAAATCAGGAATAAAAATAAATTACAAAACAGACCTCGACGTGCTCGCCATGATTATCAAGGAGTATAGACTGTGTTTTTTTTCTATCTGTCTTCTATAGTCGTTGACTTTTACAGCTCTGGTTACAGATCATTTTGAGTTTTAAAGTATTTAGACTCTCGCGCGAATCTCTACGTAAGGCGAGAGTACGAAATGCAAGCAAAAGTATTATATATTGTATATAACAAAAGTATAAAGTATTAAGTTCGTAAACTGACTCCGAAATCGAGGCAAGTTACTGCTAACCTAGGGTAAATTAAGGAATTTGATACTTTTCTGAAAACTATTTTAAGCAATGACGTTTTGTAAATGAGGAAGTATTTGAAAAATAAAAGTTACAACTTGAAATCAAACTAGATGTCACTAGCGATTTTTAGATAATAGTCTATGATATTCATTAAAATTTTCTTTCTGAGATTATAAAACTAAACTGAATATCGAAAATTAATAAACATGATATCGTTGCCTGTTTGTTATAATATTTAACTTTCAAATAAATTTGAATTAACTTGAATCGTAAGTTTAAGTTATTTATTAAGTTACGTGTAAAGGAACGATGTTTGATTTGTAAGTATATCAACATTAGTGATAAGTAAACTTATTATTACGTTTTGAAACAGCGTAAACTTTATTGTGGTAGCGTAACATTATAATACAACCTCAAAAGGCACGAAGAAATCAAAAACATTTATCTCCCTATCAGAATCTTCAGCACTGAACTTCAGCATACCTCTTGTTAGAACGAGATAAATATACTTGCATAGCTTTACGTGTCAACTGCTACATCCTCATCGATGCGTTCAATGATGTTTTTATTTTATTTTATTAAAATAACTAAAGTACCTATGCATGAAATGATATCGGTTTTGCTTTTCTCTTTGTTAATGTGTAATTTGTGCATTGTTTAAATATATAAATTTATTTTCTGTAACTTTTCACATAAAACTTTAAGTGAAATGACATTAGCTACAACGGTTGCTGAAACGAGACTAAATTGAAACTCGGGCAATGAGGAAGTATTTAAAACAATATTAATTCCCGAAATCAAACTAGATGTCGCTACGGTACGTTCTTGATTTCATGACAACCTTTTCGGTTTTCTTTCATGTTTAAAAGTAAATTAGTTTTCAAAACTCAATAAACAACTCATATTCTATTTGTAATTTTTCGTATTTGTATTAATATATAAGTTTAGAATTTTTTAAATTTCAGTTTTTTAATATGTTAGTTAAAAGGAACGGAAATGACTGTCTTTGGTTCATTCGTTCCCTGCAAAAATCAACTTTTGCTAGAGTCGCCATTTAGTGGAGGTGCTTTTTTAGTGATTTCTTTTTTTTTAATACTTCTTACTCATAAAGGATTCCTTCAACATAAAGGATTACTAACATGAGTTTACAAGATTTTAGAAAAATTATTCATGAAAATTGTCTTTTTAAATAGACTCTACCATACTATTATTTACTTTATTTTATCAGTAACTTGTAAAAAAACTGTAATCTACTTTACTTTTTTCGTTCAAAGTCCGGTTGAGGCACATCACTATTTAACCCTACAAGGCTCAATTTTTTTTTGGTTATGGAAAAAATATATATGATGTAATTAGTTATTAGTAGTTAGGAAAAAATATATAAAAAAATAATAATCCAATATTTTACCAGAAAATCATTTTTTTATTTCAGTTCCATATATGGTACACTGAGCCTTAACTATACTATTTGGTACTGAACTACAATAAACGTACTAATTAGGAAACAGTATCTTATATTAATTATCACGAGCTTTTTTTATTTTATAATTATTAACATAATAAAGATGTAGATTACAAAGTCTGAAACAAAATGAAATAAGAAACAATTATGTTTGAAAAAGCTTCTTATGAAAGTTTGAGAACTTTGCCTGAAAAAAGAATCTTTATTCAGGCAAAGTTCTGCGTGACAATTCTCACAAGAAATAAAGTCTTCACAGTCACAAGAAAAAAAATCTTTGTCTTTTTTCACCCCAGACCATACTCAAACCCTTCACGCCTGACGTCACAAGGAGGTAGGATTGCAGTATTGGACTTCTTTCTTTTCTTCTCAATTTCTTCAGACGAAGAAGCCCAAACATACATAAACTTTTGCGTACCTCAAATTTGAACTTCTTTTGTTTTAGTGGAATTCGCGTATTATTCTGATCTCCAACTCTTTTGTACAATAACCAGCTTTTGATCAAAAAAATATCAAGAAGATGATAAAATAGTCTCAACTACAAAAAATATCGAAGGGGTGTTTCAAAGTGTATAATTGGTGACTGTAAACTTGTGTCTCCAGTAAACGGAGAATGAGGTGAATGAAAAGTTGTTTTTCTCCAAATGAATCTCCTTTTATTTGTTATGGCAACAGACGTAGAACCAAAGGTTTTAGTTGATGATCCCCCAAGTGTCTGTGATTGTGTAATGGTACTTGTAGTTGTCCCTGATGTACTAGGCTGCAGGTCTGATATTTCAGGCCTTCACAACATGAACATCCTCATTGACAGGAGACAAAGATGGTCTTTGCGGCAGTAGTGAAGTTTCCTCGTCGCTAAGTGATTTCGATATCAACTTTTGAAATAACTGTAACTTCCAGCGTCAGAAAATCCTCCTCATCTTCACTCCCAGAAGGGATATTCAAGAAATCTTCAATTTCTTCACTACACAATCCTCTTCGCGACATAATCTATAAAAGAAAATAAAATAATAGTAATTATTTGGCGTAAGTACGAAATAGTAAAACGAACACGAAAGCTCAACGTACCATATGTGGCACATAGATAAAATGACGATTTCAAATACTATTACTACAGTAATATAAAAAAATAACTTACCTCTGCATAATATACACTCCCTTATTTGTCACTTAATTTTTTTGGACTCAGAACTATGCGATTACAAATTTTTAGAAATTGGTGAAATCACGAGAGTGGTTAACGTAAAACTTTTACTAAATTTTTTTGCCAAACTCTCTAAACAGGAAGCAGTGGCAACATCTATGCGCAATGCGTTGTATTATTTTGTTGCTAAATATCTAACGGTTGTGTTCAGATTGATAATAGATGTCGCTGTACGTTTTTCATCGCTGTAGGGACGATATAAATGGTTGTCCCACATGTGGCACTGGGGGCCTTGTAGGGTTAAGAATTGCAAAAACTTTTGAACATATTAAATAGGTATCAATTTAGTATCTGAGATTAAAAACAAACTCTATTTATAAACTTCTTTTCGTCGTTCATTAAATTCCTAAAAATGTTGCATTTTTAACGTTATTTTACTAAAGCTAAACTTATTTTGTCTGCAGATTCTAAGAAATAAACTTTTTTAGATTATTATCTACAAATTATCTAACAAAACATGCAAATTATTTTCAAGAGTGTCAAATACCCTTTTATATAATATAATATGCAGGAAGACGTCAACAGCTTGCTTGAGCATGTGCTTTTTAATTTTTATATTTAGCTTTCCGTGACCATGAAATACGACGTCGAATGCATCCGTGTGTAATCGAACTCTCGCGCTACATAGCGTCGTCGCCACATCGCTCCGCTACATAAATCTCTAAGCAGAAAAATCATATATTACAATAAAAATGACCTTAAATGATATTACAGTGCAAAATCATTAATGCAGCACACATACATATTATATCTCAAAAGTCATGAATGTGCTATATGAAATGAATGAAAGATGATTAAGTAAATGTGCTACTTTCTTGACGTCTATCCATTTGACTTAACCCGTGGTGCGAGGCTAGCTTCTTTTCTTCTTCTTTTATTAATTTTCTGGCTTATCTGCACATTGGAATCAACCAATGTGCATATAATTTGCATGATATATAATATTAATGGGTTAATTTTTATTCTAATTTAATTTTTCTCGAGTTTTGACAGCTTTTATATTTGATACATTAATTACAAAATCAAATAACATATACCCTGGCCTCAATAAGAATAAGGATCACAAGCATCGTTTCATCTCTAGGTGATATAGTTATTCTTGTATTTAAAGTAAAAAGTAATTTGACTATCTATATCATATTTTCCTCATTATTGGTTGCCTGAAAGAGATTGTTTCTTAGCGAGAATGCCGCCATTTGTATTCTTTGTTGGTCCTTATTGTAATTTTCGTGTAAGCTGCGTTATGTTGAGTGCAATAAAGTGTATTATTATTAACATTATTACAAATTGTAGGTTGACACATTCTCTTTAAAAGAAAATGTAGGTATCAGGTTAACCATTATATTGAAAGTCGGCACTCATATCTCTGAAGTCTAAAAAGTAATTATATCTATGTACAAGTTATCTGCTATTATTACTCTTTTCATAATAATTTTGAGCGTATTTGTTGCTCACGTGATAACAGAATGTGATTCACTGCGCACAACGTGTGTAAATTAAGGCATGAACAGATATAGGTTTACTTACCTATTGTCTAACTATAATGATATGACAATTTAGATGTTCTATTCGACAGCGTGCCCACGCACGGGTTGACAAAGCTGACAATAACGCTTTGATTAAGTAAACACTATTGTGCTGATGTGTTTGTTTACACGGTTTAGGTTTCAGTTAACCGTTTACCTACTTTTTATCAAGGACATTGTATCTCCAATGAGTTTATCATCTCTATTTAATGTTTCCTAATTTGAAAGTTATTAAGAGAAGTTAATAGTCCCAAAGGGTCATATGAGGGACACTTAAAGGTATTAAAAACTTTTTGTGAATTTCGAAGGCCCGAATATACGGAGGGCTCAGAATCCATTAACTGTAACGTTACGGTCAGTTGCATAAACATCTATCAAGGTGACGCCTTATAGCTATAATGAACGTTTTAAATTTGAAAATTTGAGTTTAATCAGCCAGCAACACAAACGTCCATTTATATTTAATGCCACATTATTCATACAAATTTTAAAGAACATCCATTAGACCTTAAAGTCATTATTAAACTTAAATGGAAATTTGTGCAACTGACCAAAAGTGGCTTTAAACTAATAACAATTT